GAGGATCCACCATGGCCTCCTGGACTGCCTGATCCGCCATGGCCTCCTAAGTCCCCTGCTCCGCCATGGCAACCTGAACTGTCTGCTTCGCCATGGCCTCCCAAGCTGCCTGCTCCGCCATGGCTTCCTAGTCTGCCTGCTCCGCCATGGTGCCCCGAACTCCCTGATCCGCCCGCCCCCCCTCCCCATTGGAACTGTTATGGCGCGGGACGCGCCTTCCAGGAGGGGGGAGATATGTCACATTTATGTTCTGTGTTTCTGTTCTCCCTGCCTTGACCTAGTTTTCCTGTGTTGCTTGATTAGTTCATTAGTTTCCACCTGTGTTCGTTAATCATCCTATTAGTCCATCGTTTGATTTAGTATTTATAGCCCTGCCTTTCCTCAGTTTCTTTGTCCTGTCTCCGTCATGTAAAGAAGGTTGTTTTCTCCTACGTTCCCATGAAGATTAATTAAAGACTCTGTTCGTTTGACTATCTGCCTCCGAGCTCCTTTCCTCTGGCAACCCGTGACATATGCACTCCCCAACGCAATCACCCCATCAAATGATTCATTATGTACAAATATAGCTATTAAAGTCATCAGGTGAAAATTCCTTTATTTTTACATATTGCAATAATATATTGTAGAAAAACAAAATACCGCAATGTAATTTTTTTTCAGTATTGTCCAGTCCTAGCTCCTATGACTTACTGGATAAGGATTAAGATTTTTAAAAATATTTTACTCCATTTTTACCACATCAAATAATTTGGAGCTTGACATAACTTCTTTATAAAAATGACAACGTCTTAAGATTAGATTAATTTTCATGACTTTTCCAGGTCTTTTAAAATTAGGCTTCCTCATATATTCAGGTTTTTTAAAACAGTGGGAAAAATACTGTCTTTGTTGGGGTGAATTAAAATACAAAGTATCTTGATTTTGGCCTAAGTTTAGCTTATTTTTTAATTCTTGTTTTGTCTTATTTTCAATCAAGTAATCTTGAGAGTCCCTTGGATGTTTACTAAAGCCCCCTGGTAGGCCCCGGCTCCCTGGTTGAAAACCACTGATCTAGAGAGAGGTTTGGCTAATTAAGCCTAAAGCTAATGTATAATGTAAGTGTAAATATAAAATTTGAGTAAAATATTGTAAATATTGAGTAAAATGTACAGCAATTTGAATATTAATTGACAAACCTGTAAAGAACGTTTTTCCACTATAGAACCTTTGTGGAATGGAACGGTTCTTCTTGGAACTACAGATGTCAATATATAACTTTTTTTAAGAATGCAGCGTTCAACACCAAATTACATAATATGAAACCATTGAACATGCTGTACTTCTATCCTTCACAGCCTTGCTTTCATTCTTGTCACATAAAATACAGCATCTACCCATACTAAGCTCCACAGCACATTAAAGCAATGATTATAAAATGAAGTACAACTGAGCACAGCGCTGCAATGCTCAGGAGTAGAAAATGAGGACAAATAAGGTCAGAGAGCATATCTTCTCCACCGAGAGACTAAATTGTAATAAACTAGCAGATTCTTTCTGTTAACATTCATCTGATATAACAAACACATACAGTAGCACCATCAACATGGACAACGACCATCTGGTTGTTTTGTCAGACACCAGTCTACTGCATTTCTGCATTCTCATTCCCTCCTTCCTCTTCATCTAACTCAAACACTATCCCTTCTTCTCGTTGTTCTTTTCTGTATTTTGTTGCCTCTGCTCTTCTGCATGGCATTTGCTTTACGTAATACACAATCTGTACTCAGCTTGTTTGTTGACCTCTCTTTTGCCTTTTTTCTTATTCCAGTTCTCTCGTTTACAATCTTTATCCTCCTCTGAGTTTTTCTATTTTTACACAACAAAAACATCTCACTATTAATCAGTATCTTTGTCTTTTTCCAAAAACACACATACACAAGATGAATTTACCTAAGAAGAAAATGTGGTTTTAAACTTATTTTCAAAGATTGTATTTTGATCATACTGTAAGTGTATTTATTATGTTTAGTTCCAATGTAAGATTTTTATTACTTTTAAGCAGTTTCCTTACTATTGTAAAATGGAACCGTGTCATTGCACAAAAGGTTCTGTTCACTAAAATATTCTATAGAGAACCCAGAATGGTTCTACTATGGCATCACCTCAAAAACACTTTTTTAAACCTTTAATTTAAAGTCAAGATCTATATTCTTAAGTTTGTTTTACAAAGGAGTCTGTTCATATATCATTTGCTTGATTTTATACATGACAAAAACAAGGTTTTTGAACCTGGCTTTATCCAATGTTCAGATTTCTTTTCTGGAAATGTATGCAAATTACTGCATATGTAATTAGATAATGCCTCATTTGCATATTTAAACAACACTGCAATACAAAAAAATGTTTATACTTAATGTAGTCAATACTTAATGTAATCAGTCAGCTGGGGAAATATGTCTATTAGTTAAAAATTTTTACCCAATTTGGGTGGCTTGCTTCTACTGTACCAGAAAAATAATAATAATAATTTTTTACAATGCAGTGGAATTTGCAAAAAAACAAAGACTGTGACTTTTTTGCAGTGTATTAATGAAAAACAGCAGATTTGACCTCTCAGTAATCACCTCACCTCCTTAAATGTCACCCTTTACCCTGCGTTAATCTAGGCCTGGAGGTCAGGATCACACTAGCGAGGATGTGTCTAGTGCCACTGTGCGTGTGTGTCTGTGTGCAGTGGCATTTATATGCATGTGTGTGCTCATAAAATCGCAATTCCTGGGCTTATCGCAGAAAGAGGTTAAGACCATCTCTGACACGGAACAGCATCCAGTGCAGAGGAGCACTGCAGTGATCGGCGAGTATATGAGAGAGCGAGAGAGATATGAATACAACATAAACTGCCACACCACCCGATGCTGTATTTTTGGAAACGCTATCCCAGCATGCACCAGCACAGTGATACTGATCCCAGAATCTAGGTGTCCATTTCAATCCCACTGTGCAGAAAAGGGAGGAGTGTGATTCAATCCTAATGATCCAGAAAATATTTGTGAATTCCCTTCCCAAATTCACACTTCAAAAAAGTGAAACTTTAAAGCAAAAATATAGAATTGTTGAGAAAAAGGCAACATGAGTCATATGATTGGCTCTTATGAGAAGAGATGCTGGGGGAGAAGAGAAATGATTGGTTGTTCTGAGGGTAGGAAGGAGGCAGATTGGTTGTTTTGCCCTATAGCAGCAGAGCCTGCAGGCAAACAGGCCAACAGCAACAATTACACTGATGGATCTGAAAGAACTGGGGCGCTCACTTTCCAACGGGGGATAAGACCAGTCAAAGCCATTGAGAGCACACATACAGTATCTCACAGAAGTGAGTACACCCCTCACATTTTTGTAAATATTTTATTATATCTTTTCATGTGACAACACTGAAGAAATGACACTTTGCTACAATGTAAAGTAATGAGTCTACAGCTTGTATAACAGTGTAAATTTGCTGTGCCCTCAAAATAACTCAGCACACCGCCATTAATGTCTAAACCGCTGGCCACTTAGACATTAATGGCTGTGTGCTGAGTTATTTTGAGGGGACAGCAATTTTACACTGTTATATAAGCTGTACACTCACTACTTTGCATTGTAGCAAAGTGTCATTTCTTCAGTGTTGTCACATGAAAAGATATAATAAAATATTTACAAAAATGTGAGGGGTGTACTCACTTCTGTGAGATACTGTATATAAGCACACATCACATATTACTGTTTATACACACAAAATCACAAAACACTAATTTATATACAGTGTTTAGATTGATATGTGGATGCATGTGGTTCTCAAACACATAATCCCTTCAGCTTCTTCACAGCTAATGCTTAGACCCAAGCATCTGTTACGTCAGAGCACATGCACATGAGCTCCAGATGAGACCCAGATGCATAGTCTCTTGCGTTATCCCGGGTTTAACCGGATGTGCTGCTCTTACATCAGACCGTTGCCATGTTCGGCTACACCAGACGCTCCATTAACTGTACTCATGTCCCGCATCGCACCTGACAGGAGCACAGCACACTAAATAAAAGTCACCTACCTCTGGCTGACAGCTTCTTTGTGTTGATGATTTTGGCCGCATACTCTTGGCCGGATGATATCTTCACGCATCGCCTCACGATAGAGAAGGCGCCCCTGAAGAAGAGGGGAAAAAAGAGAAGACGTTGAGGAAAAAAATGGGCACGAGGCCCAGATGCCGAACAGATAGAGCATATGGCATGGAGAGCAGAATCTGTGCCATGATGGAGGCACAGACTGAGCGCTTCCAAGGTTACACAACTGCGATTTTACATGGTTGTTTGTCTGTGTGTGTTTGATGAGCGTGTGTGGGTGTCATGAAATTGCTTAGCATATTCGCTAACCGCATGCACACACCAAATCTGCGTTTGTGTGCTCGCTGGAAATGAGGGGGTTAATTACACGTCACCTTTAAATGTCCCCTTTGGTGTGGTTGTTCTTCACTCATCTATAGAGAATGAGACAATGATGCATTTCCCCCCCAAATCTCATTTAAAATAAATAGATAAATAAAAGTAATAATTTTGACCAAAAAAAAGTACAATAAAGGTTAAATCACATAACCATATATGGCCAAACAAATTCTAATAAAATATATTTTAAAAAATAGAGATGGAGATGTTTAATAATGTATTTTTATCTTAATTTTGTTGTTACTTATTTTTTATCTTTTGTTTACACAACGTGGATTTGTCTGATATGTATGTATAAAATACTATATTACTATAAAATATTTGCTGTATACATACATAATACATAAATTATTATTTTAAAAACATGTATTTACTGTTATTTAATGTAACCATATATGGCTTACATTTATGCAAATTTATATATATATATATATATATATATATATATAAAATAAAAGTAATAATAA